GGCTGGGATGAAGTGTGCACCAGGAAGGGGGGGCTGGGATGAAGTGTGCACCAGGAGGGGGGGGCTGGGATGAAGTGTGCACCAGGAGGGGGGTTGGGCAGAGCCGATGTGCTGAGCCTCATTGCTGGCAGATGTGAACACACAATCTCCACTGGTACAGCATGGCCGTCCATCTGGTAGCTCTGTGTGACAGGTGGAAGCCTTGCCTTTGTAAGGTGTGGGGTAGAAGACTTAAGTTTGGGTGCATGGGACCTTAGGAGAGGCTGGGGTACAGCAAGGCTGGGTAGGAACTGAGAGATACCTGTGTGGCTTGCAGGTTTACTTCAAGGATACCCATCCCAAGTTTCCTGCTGGAGGGAAGATGTCCCAGTACCTGGAAAACATGAATATTGGAGACACCATTGAATTCCGGGGCCCCAATGGGCTGCTGGTCTACCAGGGCAAAGGTGATTGAAGGAGGCATCCCTGGGAACTGGGAAAGATTCTAGGAACTGGAGGGAGACTCTGGGTGGGGGGCAGGTGGTGTTCTCCCCTATCTTGGTTGTTTGACTGTTTACAGGATAAGTGGCCACCACAGTGGCTGCCCCTGGCTGTGCTTGGGGGGCCACGTTGCTTTGCCTACTCAGTGCCCCCAAACTACACAGCCAGTGTCTGAGTGGTGATCCTTCACTCTGCCCTCCCCCCTTGCTCTCTCTTTCCCATGAGAGAACTCATTTGAGCAGGGTCCTGGATTCTAATTGTCACCCCAACAGGCCGGGGTGACAATACCAACAGGCTGTGTGGTATTCTCTTTACCCTGGACCCTGTAGGGCTTAACTGCTTCAATCACCCATCATTCTCTGCTTAGGGAAATTCGCCATCCGTGCAGACAAGAAGTCCAACCCTGTTGTCAGGACAGTGAAGTCTGTAGGCATGATTGCAGGAGGGACAGGTAAGGGTTGGAACCTGGGCTGAGCTGTGCTGAGTTAGGATGTGTGGATGGGAAGAGGCAGGTCTGAGGCCAGGCCTGGGTGTCCCAAGCTTCCCCAGTGTGTGGGGTCCCTGTTTTACAGGTATCACCCCAATGCTACAAGTGATCCGTGCTGTCATGAAGGACCCAAATGACCACACTGTGTGCTACCTGCTCTTTGCCAACCAGGTCAGTGAA